TGGTTTACTTGCAATTTGCCTGTTGGGACATTGAAATAATCCCGATTCCGATCCCCAAAGCGTAGCAGGGTTTTACCAGTCCAGCCAAAACAACGCTGATTGGCCTGGAATAGTCTTGGGAGGCGACCAGCAGCATGGCAATGGAAATGGCGCTCAGAAGACTGGTGGATTTTCTGTTGAACTATTTTCGTTTCACACTGTTAAAGCCGTTGAAATCAAAAGAGTTTAGCAGCTACTTACGTATTTCTTGTGTTGAGCACCACCCTTTTCCAATGAGTAGTAAAAACAGCCCAAAGCCAGTCCTACCATGTACGAAGCTGTATTCGTGTAGGTGGAAGTGTAAATCGCGTTAAACTGAAAACTGCGGAAGTTGTTCCGTTTTGAGTTCCTGCAACAATTAGTTTAGTACGGGGCCTCCAAAAGCACGTTGGAAGTGAAATGCGCACTCTGGAGTCAATCGGTAGATGAAATCCAGGCCATATTTCCAGCAAACCACGGCCGGCATGAGGACGCCAATGGAAATAGCTGCAGTTAGAAAAAGTTTTCTTTGTTTGGGGAACTTCCAGATCAGAAGCAGGATCAGCAACGAGACCAGGTATAGCTGGGTATCAGCAGCTAAGTACCACGTGATAAAGTAGCACTGAAAATTTTTTTTCTTGCGATTAAAGCCCCTTGAAAGTTGTTATTTTGGCAGGCTTTGGATTGATTTTTTAACAAACCGACGTGATTTTTGAGGTCTTGAATGGACGTAGTTTTTGTTTTTTTCTAACAGTTTCATACCTGAAACAAATTTTACGGATTTGATGGGTATTTTTCAAAATTTTCCGAATTTTTCTCCGGMAAAATTGGTCGACTTTTAATGCGGATTTTCGTCGTAACTGTTACTTTTTCTAACGGAATTTTATTTAGAAAAAGGCGAGTTATARAGAAAATCACCTACTTTGGGATACATTTTAGTTTTTTTAAATTAAGTAAAAATCTTTAATTTTTGTGGAGTTCCGAATGTCGAGCGAATTTTTTKCGWAAGTTCCACGTTTTGTGACGGACTTTAATACTCAAACAGGCAAATTATAAAAAAATTGAGCGCTTCTCATATGGATTTTAAAAAATTGAATTTTTGATATTGATAAGGAAGATATACGATTTTTGACGCAAAATTTGGTCGTACCGWTTACGYGTTTTTAAWAGCGAATTATGGAAAAAYGGCAAATTACAGGAAAAATTATTGCYGTTTGAACWCATTTTTTACCTGGAAAACAAATTTGGAYTTAAAAAGTCATGCGCTTTTCATATCWTTAGAATTATGTCGTTACTTCAARCGCATTTTCGCCATAATTTCTATGTTTCCTGACCGGTTTTTAATCGGTTTAGAAAATWAAAWAAAAAWTAATTGATAGTTACTGAGACAAATTTTAGRTTTTWTAAATRAAGCCTCMGATAAGGGAGTTAWGCGCTTTTGGGTGTCGGTCTGTGGAAATAATCTTCTCTATTTTTAACCTAATTTCAATCTTGAAAAAGRCGAATTTAAGCCAGTTTCTGCGTCTCCAATATACAATTAACATTTTCGAAATTTTGATATTGATAATGAAGTTAAACGGTTTTTGAACCGAATTCTTCTCGTAACTTTTATTTTTTTTTAACAGATTTTTATCTCGAAAATGCCAAAAATTTAGCGAAAACTATCCTTTTTTGAGTTCATTTTAGATTTTTGAATTTTAGTAAGGGATGACTAAGTTATGCGGTTTTTGGATCTCCGGATTTCAAAGCAAAAGTTTTCATCGGATTTCAGTTTCAAAAAAGATAAACAGTAAAAAAGACACGAAAGAAAATAAAGCGTATTTTTTCAGGCAGAATATAATAATGGAAGTTATGCATTTTTTGGCCTCGGATTGCAAACATTTTTTTTTTTAAACTTGAATGTTTTTTAACAAATTTTAGTTGTAAAACCGGTGACTTGTAGGAAAATGAAGAATCTTCTTTTGGGCAAGTTTTGGATTTTTCATATTACATGAGGAATAAGGAAGTTCTGCGGTTTTTGCCTCCGGATTGTCAAAATATTTTTTTTCGAAACTTGGACGTTTTTCAACAAATTTCAATTTTGAAAAAGGCGAATTGTATGAAAAATAATCATCTTTAAAACAGCTTTGAGATTTATTTAATTAAGAAAATAATAAGGAAGTTATGCGCTTTTTGGTTCCAGGCGTTAAGATATTTTTTTTTGAAATAACTAAATTATTCAAGGGATTTCAATTTCCGAAAATGCGAATCGTATGGAAAATCATCGTCTTTTAGCCCGTTTTGGGATTTTTTAAATTAACTTTCAGCTTCAACAGATTCAAGAAAAGTCTACCATTTGAACTAAAAACTTTTTTCAGTTTTAAGGTTTTAGTTGACTTTTTGTCATAACCGATTTTGTCCGAATTCAACGGGTAAAAAACTGATGTTCTGAGAAATTCATTCAGGTTTAACTGGCTATTGGTTTTTCYAATTCCAGTTTTTTTTGTTTCAAAAAACGGTAAAAGTTAAAAAAGTCTTTTTATTTTAAACAACAGTTTTGATTTTGAAAGTCTAATTGTAACCGAAGCGCGCAATGCTTAACTTTCGTCTTTCACTGTTGAACGTCTCGTCTTTATAAAACTGAGTCAAGTTTTGAAGATTTTTCAAGTMAAATATCAATTAAACCATTTCTTGGCGAAAGAGTCCCAAAAAACTCACATTTTTAAAGTTCTTYAGTCTTTCAGTCATAAYCTTAACTAAAAAAATCTTGACTTGATMATAAAATCTAGAGAAATTAAACATAATATAAAAAATGTTAAGATTTCTCCAACAAAATCTCAATTAAACCATTGACTCAATTAAACCAACTCCAAAATTRTAAGAAAAACTCGCAGAAAAACCAACATTTTGTAGTTTTTCAMTTAAAACTTTAAAGTTTTTAAACCGCGTTGAACGTTCAAAAAACCTAAAATTATAAAAATACAGAGTTTCAGCTGGGATTTGGTTTCCAACAGAGTCATAAGTTTTGTGACTTTCAAAAAAAATTAATAACTTCAAGGATTTTCAACCGATTTCCATCATCAAAACTCCAAAAGTTTGAAAAACCTTAACTCTTTAAACTGGCGTTTAAGAGATAAATTTAAATTCAACAGAGTTATGAGGCTTTTAAAAAGACCCGAAGCCAATTGCTCTAAAACATACCCAAATACGGGGTATTCGCAAAAACAATTAAAACTGCTCGATTTCGTCAAGTACACCGTCCAAGGCCTGCCAGAATATCTGAAGCCACCCTATACCTACTAACTAACCATCTCGTTCTCGTTGTAATGGTTGTTGATGAATATCAGGTTGGTCCACCAGTTTTTCCGGCACCTTTCGAACTCCTTATTCGAGAATTCGCTTCGCAAAGGGCCGGGAAAGTTTGCGATTATCCATGAAGTACTGGCCATCATAATCATCACCAGCAACGGCGGCAGTATTCTGAAGAAATCCATCAAATTAGCAAAAATGATGCAAAACAAGTCACTTCGCTTACCGCAAGTACCGATTCAGGAAAGTAACGAGCACATATTTCCATTTGGACTGTTTGTAGACGGTCATCGACTGGCAAACATGGAAGGACAGTAGGAAAGCTGATAGAAGGAAAAAAGTCTGCACTAGGAAAACTGAAAGCGTGCCAAAGAAGAGCCGAATGGGATTTCTGTAGACCTAAAGAAAACGACAGTAAGGCTTAAAAATCAATTAAAAACCCTCACTGACCTGCTCGAAGTATTCCGTGTTGGAAACATATCCGCCGATGTAGCTACACTGGGTGTGGCAGAAAATCACTAAAAGCATATTGTAAAACCGAATGCCCTGTATGAACTTCAATTTTTGAAAGTCCGGCCGAGTGTTTGGGGTGCACAACTTTCTCCAGTTGGCGATCAGGGAAAACGATTGGCACACAGGATGGCCTGGATGCACCAAAAAAAAATTAGTGGTCAATTCCTGCCGTTAAATGAAACCTCTACCTGGGCCTTGCAGCGGTTTTTTATAGTGCTGATATGTGGCAGCAGCAATCAGCAGGATGTACATTACACTGCATACTCTGAAAAAAAATCATGTTAATTTTGGATGCACAATCACTGAAATGAAGACCTACAGAGCAACGTTATCCACAGCTGTAGCTGAGTATTGAGCAACCGAACAGTTCAACTGGCTGACTGAGAAGTTCAGCCCCAAACTCCCATACTTTCGGCTGTAGCATTTGTCTATTTGACCCTTTAAGTCCAGTTTTTCGTCTTTCCGCTGCGGGCAGAACTTTTCCAAGCAAATGGCATGAAACAGCTCGTTATGGTTGTAGAATCTTGGATGTTTGATGGTTTGCTGCATTAGAAACACTAAAGAACCCTTCCTCGACTTCAACGCTTCTTACCTCAATGACCTGCCAGTGGCTGTTGGACTTGGAGTCTTCGGGCTGGATGAGGATGGAAGCTTTGCAATAAGTGGCGCAAACACTGTCGTCGTCGATGTGGAAGATCGGAGGCAACTCTCTGAATCGAGCATCTAAGAGTTTGAAGGACGGTTTCTTAGCACTTGAAGCCCAAATGAATGGGGTTTCATCAAATTACCTGTAACATCAATGTAACACTGCACATATTGAACGAAGCCTAGACACACGAAAAGAGTCCAAAAGTAAGTCATTACGTATTTGTGTCGGGCTGAGCACTGCGGTGCTGATGGCAAAAGTGCAATTTAGCATTTAATTGAACATTTCACACGTAAACAATTAAATCTGGAACAGGGCGTTTTGCTTGGTAAAGTGTGTGCAATTTTTCCAAACCTGTATGATTTGTGAAGTTTTGGTGGGCTTTGAAAGGTTTTAACTTATTTAACTTATTTAGTAAATAGCACCAATATATTTCAAGTTGGAGTTGGAGATTTCTATTACTGCAATTATTTATTATTTTATAAATATATTCAGACGAGGGATAGAAATTACTGAAATAATCGCAACCTTGCCGTTACTTTAAATCAACTTTTGGCACCTTTTTCGAAGGGATCACAAGCATTTATTTTGGATAAGGGTTTTATATCAGCAAAGGCCTCATGTATTCATGTATTCTTTGATCAACTTTTTCTTGGGGTAAACTGATTTCATTATCAATTTTATTCTGCAACAGTTCCAAAAGATAATTTTTCTAGAAAAATCTGAAGGTGTCAGATCCGGTAATTCAGGTGCCCACGTTAACTTCCTCGCTGTTTTTTTCCTTAACCGTCCCAATATGGCAACCTGAGATTTTCTAGAAAAAACCTCGTCACACTTTCTCTTAAATCTAAAATCGTCTAGACTTCTTCAAATAACTCGTTTCCTAATGAAACGAAGGTTTAGAAAATATCGCACCATATTTTAGTACAAATGCTACGAATGCTTTCAATTGTTGCAGAAGAAAGAATAAATATTAAACTTTCTAAAATATTAATTACTTCAAATTTGCATTTTTTTCGTTTGCCCACATTGTAGTCTGTCTATAGATTGGTGGTATATCTTGGTTTGTATCGTTATGGGAAGACGATGTAGAGCTAGCATGAAAGACAATTGTAGGCGTCGATGGCAAGAGAAGCAGAAAACCGTGGTTAACAAATAAAGCAAAATATCTCGCTAAAAAAAGCCAAGAGCTTAGTTAAAATGCATTAACAATAGAACACTGAACGAGTACGAGAGGTAACATTGTTAGAAATCGAACAAACAACAATATAAGAGAACTGAAAAATAATATTGAACTGGAGGGAGCGGTCAAAAAAAGTGGACCATGCGACGGATGAAGAGGTGAAAGTCGACGATATTAAGTTCAAGTGACAACAGAGAAGTTGAAAATCCAAAAAACTCCTGGCCTGGTTGATAATATCAGTAATAAACTGGTCAAATACGGGGGAGTGGGACTACAGAAGGAACCCCAAACGAATGGAGAGCAAGAATATCCATCCTTATACATAAAAAAGGAGAGAACAGGAACCGAAATCATCGCAAAAAGAATCACAAAAAAAGTGACTATATTCGAAGAACAGCAAGCATTTAGGTCTAATATGTTAAGGGTGAGTATTCATATTGAGTATGCAAATGATAGAAAAATCGATAGAATCTAACAAGCCTCTGTATGCCGGTTTTGTGGATTTAACCCAGGCATTCGATAGGGTCCGACTGGATCATGCAATCAAGATTTTATACCAGAACAGCATCGATTACATTTATCAAAGAATCAAACAAGAAATCAATGAAAATATTAAAAAAGTGAATGCTGGTTACAGAACCGATAATCGCGCCATTAAAGTATGCAGACGATGCAATCCTCATAGCAGAAAATAAAGGCAACGTCTGTTATTAAAGACGAAATAAACCGCATATGAATTTAACATGAACAAATGAACTAAAGAGCCCACAAAATACAGCAGGTGAGAAGACTCAACAACGTGGAAGTGCAGGCATCAAGCGAGGAAACCTTAGTGAAGAAAAACGAACACAGCGCATATGAAGGCGACAAGAGTGAGCGGATATAATATGGAGAAATAAAATGATGAGTACAAAGAGCAAGTTGAGGATTTATTTACGAAACGTGCGTGCCGGACCCATCATAATAGTGACCCTCAGCGATCGAATAAGGAGCCGGGATATTAGAGAGGAGAAGACAGGAGATGCAGGAGAGACTGGAGAGACCATGTGGCGAGACCAACTAGCGAAGACCAACCAAGAGATGATATGAAAGCTGGAGCTCGGCATCCCGAAGGAGGCTAAACGCAGCGGTCTAAACATGCCTCGCAAGTCCAATTATTAGAAGAAGCAAAAACAATTGGGGCATTTACTGCTTGACAATATCTAAGGCTATAAAAAACTTTTTTGCATCTTAAAGTCAATAAAATTGGTGGCGGTGATTTACTTTGGGTCCCCCTATTTAAATAAATTTGGTACAAAAGTGTATTTTCGTGCTTTGTTTCAGTGTCTGCAAACAATTTCCACCCTCATCTGAAACTATCTGAAGTACTTAATTGTCACAAATACACAGAGCGAAAAAAAAAAATTGAACTCGATAACGCTTCTTCAGTGTTTGCTTCATAATTCTATAATTTTTTTTCGGCTGTGCAGTGTGAGGAAGAAAGAATAATTATGCAACTTTCTGAAAATATTGTGTTTCAAACTGTGTAACTTATCTTTATAACACTTTGCTTCGTTTGTTACTTTTTCCTTATACATACTTTTGTATGCAGTTTTCTGTATTTGCCGCTATTAGTTGTGGTGTCGCGCAACTGAAAATTCGGCCAACATTTGTTTTTTTGTGCTTACACTTCATTGCTCGTTTTTGATTTAGTGAATTAATTGGTGTTCGTCTTGTAGTTCTTTTAATTTGTTTTGCCTAGTGTTGTGTACGGAAAAGGATCAATAGGAAATTTTCTAAAAGATTAATTAAATCAAATTTTTATGTATTCAAAATTTCTTGTAGGATTGTTTAAATATTTATCAATTCCTTTTATTGTTCTTTTGGTTTTCAAGTCTGATGATCATTTTACTCTTGTTTCGCTTACTTGTAGTGTTGCAGTGTTGCGCATTTGAAAATCATACCAACTTCTAGTTCTCTTATGCTTACAATAAAAAAAATGCAATTTTCTTAGTGTTTTACCCTTTACCTACTGATTTAATTAATATTTAATGGTGTCAGTTTACTTTTATTTACTCCACTTCTTAGTTATTTTGTACTTAATTTATTTTTATTTATTTTTCGTCACTTTTCTTCTATTTTGTCGGTTAATCTCGCTAGGTTGTAACTCGTTCGACTACAATTATGGTCGCATTTCTGTATTAAATTTTTAATTTTGCAGAACTTTTCTATGGAATTTAAACATTTGTTTCGAAAAACGTGTTTCAGCTCCTTTAATGATGCGAATGCAGATTCTAGTTCATCTCCTACAAATGCCCTTCATTGGTGCCGAGGAGATAATAAATATAAAACTTTCAAACAGTTTAATTAAATCAAATTTGTATTGCCTCTAGTTTTCTTGTACGCATCCATATTTCTGTTTGCAGTATTTTTTGAGTTTATAATTAAGTTGTTCCTTCAAACTTGAATATTCAGTGCGTAAAACCACCTTTTCCTCTTTTTTAGCACGTTTTTGTCATTGGCAAATTGTCGGTTTTCCTTTTCTCATTCACATATATGTAGTGTTAGCAGTCTATAATTACTTTCGTTTTCTCTGCTTTTTAGTGGTTTTTGTCCATTTTTTTTATTTGGTTTTTTGTCACGTTTCTGCAGAACTTTCGTAGCAAACAAATTTTGTAAACTTTCATTTAGCAACGCAAACACAACCCTGGTAAGGAAACACTGTGGTCTACTTGAGTTGGACTTTTTTATCCTCCACGAGTCTGGTACCTGAAGAAGGCACAATTTTTACATCGGATAGTTTCTGAAGTATCGTTCTTCTTCTTTGTGAAGTTGAGATTGTGAAATTGTCCCTTACATGGTTGAACCAAGGAGAACACAATTCAAAACTGATTTGAATGCTTGGTTTAAGCTATGAACTGAAAAGCTAAATTTAAATGTACCTAAAGCGCTCAACCTGCCGACACAGAGGAACAAGAATTGGACATAATTGCAGCAGAGCTTTCCAGGGGCACTCAGAACATTGCACAACCACTGACACTTCCCAGGCACCAAATAAATACCGGCTACATTCCTACCACGTATGTAAGATCACATTAAACCAATGGATAACTGAGCACCGGTATAAATTGAGCACGAGTTGGTTCTTGCTTACAATATTTTAATCCTAAAAGAGACGATTTGAATCGAAACTGCAACAGGAAATAAGCAGCTGCCGGGTGACCCGAGCCTCGGCGTAACTTGCATAACATGAAGCTCACCCCATAGAGAAAATAAAATTTTAATTACTCTATGGCTCACCTTGTATATACAGAATATTGAACTTCATATGCAACACCTCATACAACTGGTACCCAATCTCGGTCAGTCAGTCCAACAGGTAGAAAAGAAAGGTGAATCGGTGATGGGTGGGAACCCATAAAATTCCCCTTGTCGACTCCGCTGAAATATGCAACGTTCACACGAATTTCAATAGTGCAGGCTGTTCCATCAACAATTACACAATGCCGATAGAAACAAATTAAGTAACGGTAATTACTGCAAGCGATGGGTTCCAAGATCGAGTACGTCGACTCCTCACAGATCTACGCAACGAATTATGTGAGGAACTCAAAGGCTGTGGGAGTGTTGTGGGCGATCTTCACCATTTGCTATGCCATCATCATTGTGGTGGCTTTTATCACTCCGGAATGGATCGGGAATATTGAGGGCGAAGTACCCGGGAAGTTTGGCCTGTGGACGGTGTGCTATGCGGAAGAGAATGGCGATATGTGTAAAGGAAGGTGAGTCCCACTTGTAAGTAGGCCTCGAAGGTTGTCACTGTAGAACCAACTGAACTGATCACAACAATGAAATTTGGGACACTTTGGGACACGTTTGCTCACATACTGGCTATCTCGATTGTTTCCAACTGATTTCAATTCAATGTTTTTGTAGACACTTTGGGCTTTTGAAAAATCCACTTAACGAACCAAAATCCCCGTTCAAGGAAAGTTCGTGAGAAGCAAAAAAAATGCCACAAATCCAACCATAACAGTGTAATAATTGGCTGATCAAAAAATTCGGTTTGTTCAGAGGATTGAAACAACATTGTTGAATAATCGGATTAGTTAAAACAATTGAGCTGAATCGTTGCCCGTATCAATTTGGCTGTGACAATGGCGAATTTCCCTATTTAATTGTGTCGTATTTAATTAACGCCGAAAAACGAGCGCTTGAGCGGAGAAATTGTTTTCTTTGGTGGTCAAATTCGATTTCTATTTTTTGTCATTATTTTTTAATTTATTCGGTTCGGTTTAGGTGCGATCTAATGCCATGGCCTGCGGAGGTACCACTCAGGATTTTAGATTTTCCTTTACTTTATCAATTTACAGTTGATGTCACCATCTGTGGGAAGTCTATTGTGAGTACTTTGGCAATATAAATTTTAAATACATCTATTCAGATGTGTGAGAGCGAAGCGAAAGGAATCGACTGAAGAAACACGTATTTAAATTTTTGACAAAGGTACGAAAATGCCAAAGAATGCATCCAAAACTCGCTCAAATTGCCCGAAAATCCAAACAGCGCTCATTGTCAGAAGACAGTAAACCAACCAGTTTATTGAAATTTTTTTTCGTCCGAATAAAGTTGAGATCAAGACAACAAGCTCGATGCTAATTCGGCATTAAGCAGACTTTGAGACTTTCTCAATCTGTTTCTGTTCAGTGGTTTGGCTATGGAATTTTCTACTGTTTTTTAATGTTCCCTAAGTTGGGAAATCTAGCGAAACCAATTTGTGGACGATTTAAAACATAAGTTGCTCCAAATGCTTTCAAATACTTCGCCAGAAATAGACGAATCTTGTGAACAAATTGAAACTCGAATGAATCAACAAATCGTGTATTAAATAGATTGACACTCACCACACTGATAGTTCAATGTTTTCCCCATTACATAAGAAGAAAAGCAACTGATTTTGCCTGAGCTTTCAGTCATAACTTTTGAGCTTCAGGCTTGCCGAACTTGCCAAAACTGGAGGAAAAGAAGGTACAAATCGATATTTTTCGATCCGATTTTAGATAAAATCATCCGCTTTCGAATACATTTTATGTTTTTGAAATTAATTAAATGATAAGGAAGTTAAGGAAATTTTAGATTCGAATTATACCTAAATCGGATTGTAAGCGGAAATTTTGGTTTCTTGACTCGTTGAAAAATTTCGTCCGGCTTAAAACCAGAACTAAAGCTAGTGGTTTAGAAAATTTTGCAAAAAAATTGGATCAAAATTGTGTGTTTATCTCTTAATTTTTTGGAAGAAAAGTAATAAATCTGTTATTCTCTGTTATCCTCTCTGTAACTTCCATGTTTTCCAATGGATTTTAAAGAGGCCTTTTGTAGGAAAATCAATCGTCTCATACAAATTTCAGATTCTTGAAATAGAGCCAGAGGAATGGAAGTTATGCGCTTTTTGTGTCTCGGATTGCAAAAGAATTTTTTGTTGGATCCGGACTGTCAAGCAAATTTTCTTCGAAAAAACTACATTTTTCAAGAGATTTCAATTTCCAAAAAGGCGAATTGTATGGTATTTTAGACTTTTTTTGAAAAACTGCTTGTTGGGTATTGGGGTGGCTGTAAACGGGGTTTTTTCAAAAAACCTTGATTTTTATAGCTAAAGAACACTCGCAACTTCAAGAAAAGTCTACGATTTGTATTAAAAACTTTTTTTCAGTTTGGGTTTAAGGCGTTTTTCTTTGATAACTTCCATGTTTCTTATCCGATACCAACCTGCAACAAACTGAAATCCAGAGAAATGAATGCACTTATAACTAGCTATTTTTTAAAATTAAAGTTAAACGGTTTTGCAACCGCATTCTTGTCGTAACTTTTAGATTTTTAACCGAATTTTATTTTGAAAATTGTAAAATTTAACGAAAATCATACACTTTTGGGTACATTTTCAATTTGTAAATTTAAGGAATTGTCAGGTGAACTTTTGTCGTAAATTTCACGTTCTTTGACACAAATTGTAGACTTTTAAATAAAGTGACGAACAGGATAGTTACACGCTTTTTGGATCCCAAGCGCAAAACAAATTTTCGTCAAATTTCAATGTTTTCAACGGATTTAAGTTTTAAAAATTGTAAATTGTAGGAAAATTAAGCGTACTTTTGACACATATTTCGTCTGAAATTGATTAAAAGATAAGAAAATATAGCGATTTTTTCTGAAAACTTCTATATATTTAAAACGATTAAAAAAAGCGAATGCTTCTCACAAACCTTTTAGACATGTTTTTCAATTTGAAAATTAGCCATAGAAAATTCTTGTAATTTTTTGCATTGATGAGATGCAAGTTATATGGGTTTCGACGCAAATTTTGGTCGTAACGTTTACGTTCTGTAACGGATTTAAATTTTTGAAATAGCGCATTATTCAAAAATTGCTCTGAACATTCTTTCCAAAATTATTAGGTACGTTTGTCGTATTTCTTTAAGCGGATGAAAGTTCTTTTGATATTTTCAAGTTTGTTTGGAAAATTCATATTTTTGATTAGTGAATTGTTGAGTAATTGAAAGACTTTTAAGGGATTTTTTTGGAGACGAGCCGGAATTAAGAAACGTGAGCTCTTTTTTTTTGCATCCTGATTGCAAAAATAATTTCAGACAAAATGTGCGTGTTTTTCGATTGATTTAAATTTTCCGAAGAGCAATTATATAAAAATTAGTCCTCTTTCAGACAAATGTTAAATTTTCATAACTAAGCATAATAAGGAAGTTATGTGCTTTTTCGTGCCGGATTGTAAAGAGAATTTATCACATAACTTCCACACTTCCACACACTTCCACGTTTTATAACGGATTTTAATTTTCAAAACTGTTAAGAAAAGTTTTCTTTTCAGCGCCTTTTTAACGCACATTAAACTTTTGAATTTTTGAGTTTAATAAGAAAGTTACACGTTTTTTTTGTACGATTTTTGTCGATATTTTACATTTTTGAGCAGATCTTTATTTTGAACAAATTGGCCATTAGGGAAAACCATCCGCTTTCGAATACATTTAGGATTGTTGAAATCAAATAAAGGATAAGGAAGTTATGCGAATTTTAGCTTCGAATTATAAAGCGGATTGAAGCAAGGAAATTTGGGTTTCTTAACGCGTTGAAAAATTTCGTCCGGCTTAAAACCAGAACGAAAGTTTTTCCAGAAAATTTGGAAATATGCTTTTGAATTTCGGTTTAACCAAATTGATCAAAACTGTGTGTTTATTTCTTAATTTTTTGGAAGAAAAGTAAAAAATCTGTTATTCTCTGTTATCGTCTCTATAACTTCCATCTTCTTTCTTCTTTCAATGGAACTAACTCCCATTCTTTCAATGGAATTCAAAGAAGCCTTTAGTAGGAAAATTAATCGTTTTTTATACAAATTGCAGATTCTTGAAATTGAGTCACAGGAATGGAAGTTAAGCGCTTTTTGTGTCTCGGATTGCAAAAGAAAATTTTTGGGCATATACTTCAATGGTGTTCAACCAGCGACTTGTAGGGAAATTAATCTTCTTTTGGGGACATTTTAGATTTATCAAATGAAGTGAAGAATAAGGAATTATGCGATGTTTGGCTCCTGATTGCCAAACGATTTTTTTCCGAAACTTGGAAGTTCTTGGACAAATTAAGCTGAAGTTACGCCCTTTTTGGCACGTGGCCGCAAAAGAGTTTTTATCAAATAATCTTGATTTTTGTAGCACATGTAAATTTTTGGTTCATATTAAAATTTTCGCGAACAAATTACATCATCATTTACAGCATCAATAGAGCAAACGTAGACAAACGTTCACTTCGAGGGGCGATCTCTGCTGGCAAACTGCTGACATGTGGGAAAATGCTTGTGGGAAAATCAACAGTTGCCGTGCTCATAGGGCGATATCTCCTCTACTGAATGGAGCCAAAACGAACTTCCTGGCTAATCGCAATTTTCAGTTCTAACTTTTCAACTGGAAATCTCTCTGAGCCAGCAAGAAAAGTTTTGGTTAATCGATTTCATTCGCATCAGAAGAACCTAGAGTGTTAGTTGATAAACTGATTGGGTTTCTAGCTTCTTGAGCGTGTTTCCCTCACTGAATGGAGCTTCTTCATGACATTTTTATGAACATTTTTATATCAGATAGCCAATGTGGTCAGTTCAATAACAAATTGCTCCAAATGTGAAATGCAGCTTTCTATCGACTCTCAATTTTGGGGGACAATCCTTCAATGCAATCTGCTGGATTCGTTTGCTTTTTAAACTAAAAAAATGAAGAAAATTGAAGACGATTTTACCATCATAGCTCTAATAGAGCTACATTTGCTCTATAAATTGAGGGCAAAATCCGCATTTCCAGTACCAGTCTAAATATTGAATAGCTACTTTTTAAACAGAAACCTACGGAACTTAGGTGAAAAAATTTGCAATTTCAAACGTCTACCATAAACTTGAGAAACATTTAAGAAAATTGGATAATACAAGACTAAGAGAGCAAAGAGAGCAAGAGCTCGATGTCATACAATGAAGCTTCTTATCTGATCTCCATTTTGAGGGGCAATTTTTTGATGCAATCTGGAGAATTTTACGAAGCCTATTTTGCAATTTGAAAATACAGGGTGTCCCGTAAGCTCATGATCAAAAGGGTACGGTAACTTTTATTAACAAAAAATGTCTGGCTCCTCTACTACTGATGGTCAAAGTTCTTCAAAAAAATTATCTTTTTTGAAATATCGGGAGAATGGTACGATGTATTTTAGTGAAACTCGCTTTGAATTTGTTCTTATGTAAGACTCATATTTTGATGAAGCAATCGAGTTCAGAAGTTTTGAACAAGTGGTGAATTCTTGAGTGTCGTGGTAGAAAAACTACCAGAACTTTTCAGTTGGAAGATGAAATCAACTCATTTTTTTTAGGTTGATGCACTAATCATTTATTCACAATTTCGTGCTCTTTGTAAAATCTTGTAGCATTCATAGTTTTTGCGAAAAAAAATATTTCGTGATACGAGGCATAAATTAATTGTAATAACCTTTTCTAATGAAGAAGTGACCGACATGTCAAAGCATTAGGGTTTTGCGAATACAACTTGCATGAAGGCGTACGCGTTTACGCCCCGCATATTTGCAGTTAATGTCTAACATTGTTAAGTAGCAATAAAACACACATTTTTTTGCGCAAAAACTATGAATTCTAGAAGATTTTCCAAAAAGCACAAAATTGTGAATACATGACTAGTGCATCAACTGAAAAAAAAATGAGTTGATTTCATACTCCAACTAAAAAGTTCTGGTCGTTTTTGTACCACGGCACTCAAGAATTCACCACTTGTCCAAAACGGCTGAACTCGATTGTTCCATCAAAATATGACTCTTACATAAGAACAAATTCACATCGAGTTTCACAAAATTACATCGTACCACATTCTCCTAATTTTTCAAAAAACATCAATTTTTTGAAAAATTTTGATCATCAATAGCAGAGAAGCCAGACATTTTCTGTTCATAAAAGTTAGGTCAGATCGTCTTCTTTTGATCCAAAGAATAAAGCAGTATCCTTTTGATCATGAGCTTACGGGACACCCTGTATAGGAAGGAACTTTAGTTAAGAAAATTATAAGTTCAAAGCTCCAATATACTTTTAAGGCAAATATTTAACACTTTGACACTTTAACACTTGTAACAATGACATAAAATGGACTTTGYTATTTACGTGCAATTTTGAGGAATAATTTCTCTTTTTGAGTCTTGTGTTGAAGCAAAATAGAAGTCATTGAAGCGAAATAGAAATTTTTGTCTAGCCTYAATTTTGAGTAAGGAGTTTGTGAACAKAAACCTGCATGAAAGGAMKTTSTCWATTTGAAWSTTCAAATAACCGAAAACTGGCAWWWATCGAKKAAAYGTGATCAGAAATTATCATAAAGGTTTCTATAGTAAAAAGCAGAAAATTTWAYGTCTTAGCAAACCCCACTTTTGAGGGCCGGGCTTTTCTATTAAGTTGAATTCAATTCAATCKSAATTATATGAGCAAATCGACATTAAATGTGGTGAAAGTCAACATTTTCACTCGCCTTCCTGGTGACTCTAGATTGGTGAGCAAACCAAGCAACTTGTTGGATAGCTGAAAKACTATTCTGACCCTAAAACAGTGAAGCCAACACTCTATTCAATTCAAATTTTTCAAGCAGTTACTCAACACTGCGGTAATAAATTACGCTTTTCCTATACAGATTGGACGAAATTATGAGCATGTCGAACAGAGCATTCCAAGGAGCAACAGCACTCGTAGGCTTGGCAGTCCTGCTGGCTATCCTGGCGATAGGAGCGATGATCTTGTTTCTCTTCTGCCATTCCACCACTGTGTTCCATGTCTGTGCCTGGATGCAACTGATTTCAGGTAGGAAAAGGACATGATTGTGACTGTCTTGAAACCATTGATTCCTGCAGGGGCAGCTTTGGTAGCTGGATGCGCGCTCTATCCTTACGGCTGGTCGCAAGACATTGTCCAGACCGTTTGCGGCAGTTCAGCAGGCGAGTTCCAGTTTGGAAAGTGTGGAATCCGATGGGCGTATATTCTGGCAGCGATTGGATGTCTGGACGCGATTGTGTTAGCAACGCTGGCTTTTATTCTAGCTACCAGACATGTGACGTTGCAAGCAGAGCCCAGCTACGCCCCTGCCAGCTTATATAAAGGTACATTTATATTATTCTTGTTGAGGTTGAGTTTGAGACAACGAGTCGGTTTGTTTCAGGTGAAATGAACAGCGCCTATCTGAGTGATTCGGCCAGTGTGGCAGGAAGCAGAAAGTCGATGAATATACATCCAGTCCTGCTGATGCCCCCAGGCCAGGACGACACTTATTCTCAATTCTCGCAGAGAACAGTTCCCAGATCCATACATTCTGGACATTATTCTCATCCGCATTCTTTGCACAGGAATTTTCAGCTTTGAATTTTCAAATTYACCTCAAYGCAAGGCCCATAACAGTGTAGATTTTTTAAGATCCTGGAATTGTATGATAACAGMAATAAAATTGGTTAGAAAAACATGTTSTAGCTCTTGATCGGGCGCCCGGTGGAGAAKTATTTCCGATATTTTCTWAGCCTTAATTTWATTAGGAAMCGMTATATTTGAAAAAGTCTTGCCGATTTTAGATTTAGGTTGCCTTATTSAGGCGTTTAAACAACAAAAMGCGATAAAGTTAATACTAAGATTACCAATGTTGTTAGCCCTAAACGATTCTTAAGGTGTTTTCACATTTTTAGACTAAGTCCATTTAAAAATCCGACCTTTAACATGAGGATTTGTTGAAAATATGAAGAAAATGGTTGGAGCGACGGAMATTTTAAGTGAATTGATTTAGAAATCKTTTTTCGAAACTGGACATTTTGGGCTTTTAAAAAGCGCATTGTCAACATTTTCTTTTAACGTTTTCAAAGTTAACTTGCGAAGGAAGTGTAAAATTTGACATCATTTTTCAGAACACAGCATTCGACACTTTCCACAAAAATATGCTACACATTTGCCTTTCCATTAGCGTATTAGGCGATGTTTTACCTGTTTTGGTTTGGCTGCATTCATTTT